CCCTTCCATTCGAATTTCTACAATATTCCTTTTGTTAATGACAAGATTTTTGAACTAAATATCTACCTTTTTGATTTACATTTACCAAAACAAAAGTGTGAATTATATTGTGCCGTAGATAAAAATTTTCAAATTTCTATTTAATTTTCTAGAAGCTCGATCTATAACAACGCTAATGCACTTTTAAAAGGACGATGTGTGTGGCTGTAAGTCGTCGAACGAGGTCCTGGTAGCCCTTTTCCCTGCGCGGGTAATCCTGGTAGATTGGCACGAATTAATAATTCGTCTTGTATCGGTCTCGTTGGCTACGATCTCGACGGTGTTAAACGACCGATGTTTCCTTTTTCTTTTCACTCGAGAAGCGCCAGTCTCGATTTGTTGGACACCTCACCTGTCGTGCATTCTATTTCGCGTCCATCCTACAGTCGTCCCGAATATCCTCTTTACGCGCCGGCACCTTTATGCATCGTTAAAACCGGCAGTCGCGTTGGAGTAGTTGTAAAACCGCAATAAATCGATGCGTATATGTTGCGTTGACAACGTGATGAGATGTAAATAAAAAGCAGAAAAATGAGAGAATCGGGGGAGAAGGATTAGTGCTCGCTATTCAACCATTATACCACAGATTAACGGACATTGCTCCTCGAGATCATTGAAATTCTTCGATTGGAAGATTAATTAGAACTAAGATTTTTGTCTTGGATGATAAGTATAGAAAAAAAAAATACTGATCTAATGGAGTAATCTCCTCCTTTTTCGAAGTTGGTTAAAAATAGAGAAAATAGTGATCCAATGCAGACGATACGACAGGCCAATTAAAACAACCCTCCTCCTTAAAACCAGAAGGAGATTGTATTTGTCTGAGCATCATCCGTGACAAATTAGAAATTTTCATCGATTCGAAGAAAGTCGCGTAACAAAGAAAAAGGTTGCCGTCGCCGGAAAGCCAAATGCGAACGACTTAATTAAGAGCTACCGTCGCTTGATCCTTCTACGAAATTCGCATCGTCCATTCTTCCGGAAGACATGACACAGACGAGCAAGAAGCAGCAAGACAAACACGGAATAGCCATGAACGCAGGAAAGCCGGAAGGTGCTGCGAGGTAGCGTAAACAATTGCCAGCACAATTAGGAAACGTTTGTCCGTCTGTGTTTATCGAAGGATCCGTAACTAACTTAGGTAACACCTATCCATTTGCTATCCGGCCAACGTAGCGCTGGATTGGTCATGCGGACAATCTACAGAAACGTTATCGAATCTCGTGAAAAGAATCTTTATCGACAGATCCGTGAATAATTAATGAAGATAAACATACTTGTTTTCGTCGTTCATATTAATTTCCTACGAGAATGCAATGACGTTCGTAGATCGGAAGAATTGTATTATCACGCAACATATCGTCAATCAATCATATCTTTCATTACTTCATAAAAGCAAAACATTTTAATCTTTTTTTGAATTATAACAGGAAATAAAGATTACATCTATCAGTTCATGGAAATTAGATTTAAATCTGTTGAAATTTAACGGTAGGCGCCGATATAATAAAATATATGAACGTGATATGATCATTTTCCTAGTACTTTATGATTATTGACTTTACTCAGTCAACAGCGAAAGAGTAAAGAATGTAAACTATAAATGGAGGATGGAAAAGCGATTTGATGGTGAACTTCTCTACAAATTTTATTATACTTTGAAAGCTTGGTTTATGCAATACGATGAATAAAACGGCTCAGATTTGACTGCAAACTTCTTCGTAAAAAATCATCCTTTCAGAATTGACGGACTAACAGGACCATTGCGTGTAACGAAATGGTGACTCTTTTGGTATTTCGCAAGAAACGTTTGTCGTTACGTTAATTTGTTCGCTTGTCGCAAACATTCCTTTCGGGCTGGATTTATGACAGAAAATGAGAATAGTTTTCAAGGAACGGATGGAAGTCTAATTCCGTAACATTGTATAAAGGGAACGTGGAGGAGAAATAAAAACTTAATTTAGTTCAACCTGTACGTGTATCCGCGTGCGTCGACATGCGGGTAATCATTCTACCTTTCCATTCCCTGTGGATAAGCAGTTTTTTTTTAGAAAATCCATGCTGGAATCGTTTTTTAATCTACACACGATATAAGGGGACACCATTATCCTTGGGGAAAAAATAACTAATGGTTGCAAAAAACCTATGAATCAAGTAAGGTAGAAAAAAGAGAAAAAGAAGGGAAGTTCCTATTTTATTCTTCACTTTGTTACCACAGAGAATGCAACACAATCAATTCCAAAATTTCCCGTAATCATTCAATTGCGATTACGTTCGCGTTACTTCTTCATATTGACAAAGAAAAACTCGTGTAATTGATATAAGTTATATCGTAATTGCAACACAAGACTTTTATTTTTCCACATAAATATCTTTTATACGTAAGGCGTTTTTGAAATTTTTCAAAAATATCTATAGCAAACTCAAATTCATTGGATTAAATATTACAGAAGGATAATGTGTGACTTTCTTGAAATATGGATACCACAAAGTTCGAGGGGACACAAACACGGAGCTGGTCGCATAATCCCTCGACGACAAACTTATCGCATTATCTGTTACATCACGTTCGGCAACTAGACGTTAGTTCCTAGCCAAGGGACATTAGGTTTGAGAGGCTCTAAGAGAGTTGACAACAGGTACGAGCCACCTGAGGAACTGACTCTGTCGCTTGGTAAATGTGAGAGGTAAAATTTGTTAGGAAAATTCCATGGAAAGCGTAGGTATATCAAAATATCTTGATGGAACATTTTAATTAAAGAGGACAGAATTAGTGTAATGCATAATCAAACGAATTGTTATCACCCCTTTGATCGAATTTTGTCGTCATTATTATTAAGGCTGCGTTAAATGAAAATTTATGCACCAGCTTGAGTTAGAAGCAGTTTGTCATGACACGGTATGACTCATATGATTGATATAGAAACACGAGCGTTTACAAATGTTTTACCACCGCTTAATTCGTGCTTTTACTTTCAAATTGCATCCGACTTCTGTTTCCACGTTGCAGCAATGAGAGGCAGATACATCATGTCCTATCGGAGGAAACCATCAATGGCGTAACCAGGAAGCCGTCCAAAGTTCTCTAACGATGATGTATCGAGGTTGCAGGAGGCCCTTAACTTGCGGCCGTTTCGATACACCGTAAGTTACCGTTTCTTTCGCTCTTTCTTTCTCTCACCCTTTCTTTTGCCACCCTTACCAGAAGAAGTAGGTACTACGTCCCTTGGTATCCTCCAACTTACCACCGATGATGACCGTGACAGATAGCCTGTCATAACTCGCCGCTGCGAAAAAACATATCTAAGGTCTGACGTTTGTTAAAAAAGTAACGCATACTAGTTTCTCGATCAAAAGGTGGATGTGAATTATATCGGTTAAAATGTGCAACATCATTCGTTCTCCGTCAATAAACTAGAAAGCATTTAATCTGAATTACTTTTTTCAAAATAAGAGAAGACTTTCGACCGCGTATAAAACGTTAGATAAAGCCGGCTCGAAATGATATTTTTAGAGGGACGAAAAGTTTGATGGCTCGAGACAGAGTTTGGAAAAGTGTCACATCAAGCCGCGGTGAGTTTTTAAAACTAAACGACGCTAGGGGTCAACAGAAGCTGTCAAGCTAGCTTTAGTTTCCATAGACGGTGCGAGTTTTTTTCTCGGGAAGAAGAGCACTTTCCTACGGTGATTCGCAAACGCTTTTTACCTTTCTGCCCTTTTATGCTGTCGCTCTTACTCTAGGACGACATTGACGACGCATTAAAATTTATCTGTACCTTTATTGCCGTTCGTTTCATGGAAATTTCCAGACGTTATTTCCTCATAAATTCAGCTGCCTAATAGAAATAATTAATCTATTAGATGCGATATAAAATCGAGGCTGATAATCTTAAAGCCACGACCGCACTTCCAGGAAATTACTATTAATAATCTTTCTCGTGAACCAAAAAGCGTTTTAACTAATTCATGATCCTGTCGGATGAAAATCGTTACCATCCATTTCAGTTACGTATATGCTATAATTAAATGTATAAACGTTGAATGTTTAGAATGGTATCCTATCCTGATGACGGGAAAATGCACTTATCCTTTTAAATATCAGAGGGGTTTATGAATGTGCTGTCTCTTTATACAACAAATTATAATTTTAGTTCATTCATCGTACATAAAACATTAGAAACCAGATTCAATATTTATCTCAAAATACTGCCTAAAAATAACAAAATGTCATAATTATGATATTATTATTATTTTTTATTTGTTTTTTAAGTATATTCTTGTTACTAAACATACTTATAAAAATGTTTGAAATAAATTAATTTCCATTTAAATTTTGTAATATTGTTTTTTAATTAATAAGTAACATTTATTAAAGTTTGTGGAAATTTTACATTTCATTATTTACCTTTTTATGAATGTACATTGTATTAATTGATAAATAAACAATATGTATTATTATCTCATACTTAATTTAAATAATTTTAAATAGTAAAGTTTACAATTTTCATATTTGAAAGCTTGGCGCTGTAGTAGTTTCAAACTAACGCAGCGCATGCGCAGAACGGTTATGTGTAACCGTTTGAAAAGCGTCGGTCTCGCAACGCGTCGTGCTAAATTAATCGAAATCTGTGATAAATCGTATTTCCGAGTGATTTACGTAGTCAAATTAATGTGTAAGTGAAGTGATTTATGTGCGCAAAATGGATACATAAGTTGGAGTTCATCCTGGATTGGAATTTCAGCAAATGTGAGTAAAATTCTCTTGTAATTGTTAATTGTCCTAGCACGTAGGACGCCACAATTTGAGGTCAATTTTATTGGAATTTAAGCTCGAAATGAATGATATATGCAGTTTGAGATATAATTAGTAGTTTATAATCAATCCGAAATCATTTAATAAATATAATATAACGTTTATTTAATTTTGTTAATTACATTGGTTACATCAGATTGAAGATAAGTAATACAAAGATTTGATAAAACAAACATTTTTTATTATATCATTAAAAATAAAGCAATGTATCTTTTATTTGTAATCCCTTTAAGGTGGATCAACCACTTAACAATAATTCCATACATATTAGTTTAATAACTTTAGAAAGAAAATATATAAGGTGAATAGATAAAATCACTGAATGAAATACTTCAATAGTTATTTCCATACAAATGGTTACTACTTTACTTTATTTTTATTGTTCTCATAATGTACTCATAATTATGCATACACTTTGAGAAGGTATACAAACTTTACCTCTACTTTGGATGCTGCGTAATGTTTAAAATTAATTTACTTACATTATATTCAACACTCTACAACTGGAATGTTCAATTAAGTAATCATGGCATTTTTAAGTTACACTTTTAAAAAGTGGCAGTACATAATAAATTATCACTCCAAAGGAAATTGTTAGATAGTTTAAATTCAGTATATATAAATGTTATTTATTAAAAGTAATGTAAAAGCAATTGTATATCTGTGGTTGATTAGCATACTAATTTGTGAATGTACACTTAATGTCAACTGCCAACATTCCTACTTAAATGTAATCACTTCCTATAGTTTAAATCTTTCATTATACAGAATTGTTAACTGATATGTGCAATGAATCCATTGAGTATCTTCTTTCTTGTTGAGTTGTTTTCAACCATTGCTTGTGTTCGCATAAATAAGGATATAATGGAACCACTAAAACACTGATATCATCAACCGATGCCACAGGTGAAAACTTTTCATCTGTTTCCTCAAGGTTTTCTGATTTGCCAACCCAAACTCTTCCAACTAACCTACCTCTTGCTGCTTGTACTAATTCTTGAGCACTCATTGTGAGCCTGTAATAAGAATTCATTCATGATTCTGATTTCTATGGTATTGATTATGACCTCGAAAAGAATACCTGTATTCTAATGATGGAGTATCAGGGGCAAGTGTCTTCCTAAGTACATTTGCTGCTGTTTTATCTGATACAACATCCCAAAGTCCATCTGTAGCTACAATGACGCAATCACGTTCGGTTAGATTACAACTATCTAAATTTATGGATTGTACTTCAGGTTGTGATGATAGGAATGGTTTTATGTTAACTCCAGTACTGGCTGCTTTTAATCCATGGTCTCCAAATCCACGTGTTACTCCTATAGTACCCATTACTCGACTCTATATAACAAAATCACGATCAATTTCTAGTAAAAGTATAGTAATTATTACACCAACGTCACAGATAATTACCCTTTTCCCATGTCCCGAAATGAGAGGTAGTTTCAAATCGGAATTAGTTAATACTTTATATGCCCAGCCTGTCATGTAAGGTTCTCTGTAGAGAACCAATGATCCTAATTCCTTTTGCAGCGGTCTTTTACGAAACTCCAGTGGTGTAAAGTGACCTTTCAGTAATTCGTTACTTCTTAGAAAACCTAGTGCTCTGACGCGATTTGATTCTGAGTCAGGAGTATGATCTCTTGTCAATGCACGTTGACTTTCTCCCAATACTAATACGGCTCTGTTCATCATATACTTTTTATTAGTTATTCTAACTTCTATCAACTATAGTAGAGTTATGGGTATTAGAGTTTTCACCTTGAATCTCCAGCACCTGCAGCATACAATCTACCATTGAGAAATAAAATAGTGATTGCTGTACAACCTCCACCACCTCCTTGAGCTTGAGCTTCTACCATTTGATCCATCTGTCTATATGCTAATTCAATAGCACCAATAACTAGATCTCTTCCTTTTATGAGTTCATCCTCATCTTCATTTAGTAACATATTTCCAGGTATTGCCATTAATCTTCCCTAGAAAAAGATTCATATATGAGATATAAGGTATGAGGTCTCTGTAAAATTGTATATTGAATTAGTCTTACAAGAATTATCCTATGCAAATGTAATCTTGCTGTTAAAGCTACTTGATATCCGGCATGTCCATCAAACATAGAGAACATAACATAAGGCAAGGTAACATTAACATCAGCCAGTTTAAGATCTCCTCTGGTTGCAGAGGTTTGATCCTCATTCCAAGCACTTTTACCAGCATTGATACATTCTGCATAACCAGCACACCATGGCAATCGGCTCAAATCCCTTGGAACTATGATAGGTCTTACTCTGTGATCAGCACTTACCTATGAATTTCATAAATAATCACTATTCCATATTATAATCACAATATCATAATAATGATAGTGATAATTTAAATCACATACTTGAGTTTCTTCTGTTGTTAATCCCAGGAAACTAGGTCTACTATAGGGTTTATTTTCTATTTCTGCACTAATGTTTGAATTAAGGTAATCTGTTAATGTTTCATTATCTGAATCATTAGGATATTGTATGCCAAGTTCACTTCCACCAACAGCATTCAATAATGCTGATTTAAATCTGTTCAGCATCTTTTTTTTCAATATTTCTGAGATTTGTACTTTACAATTAATTTAATAAACTGTAGCATAACATCTATATTTAAAGAAAGATATTACATCTGGTGATAGTGTTTGATTATACTTTACTTTATACTGATTGTAAAAACGCATTCATGTATGTATGTACAACACCAGCAATAAGAAGGAACTGCAAAATTTTAATGGCTGTTTGGTTATCTGTCATCTGTCAGTAACTAATCACAAAATTAACTTCACATTAGAAACGCTATCTTTATAGTTCTAATATCATTATGCCCAGAAATGAAATCATTATATTTTAAATTATTCATAGATTTATGTTTCGTTCAACCGATATCATCTTGTTGACAAAATGATTGTCAACAATAAAATAGGTTATATCTTGAACACGAGTATCAGGTAGCTGTTTCATATAGCGACACCATTTGTCGATTTTTAATCACCTGAACTGATTTCTGTCTATATTTTGTCTTGAATAAAATATTAAATTGAATTAAAATAACTATATAATATTTTATAATACTAACAAAAAGGATTAGCTTGGAAATTATTCCACATATTCATTAAAACAGTGTAAGATTCCTATAATATCAGCGTACATACCTACTCGTTTTTTAATTTTTTGTTTTTCTTTTGAAAATTCTTCAATTTCTGTTTGTGTCAATGTCATCAGTACCGGTAATTCTGATAAAGTATCTTATTTTTGAAAGATAGTTTATTGGATTATAATATTTACCGCACGTATAACTAATTAAATTAAATTTAATCTTAAGGAACAATTTGGAGAACATCCAATGTTTAATGCGTTGCATTGATAATAATTTATGTGAAGTAGGATTTACAGATTATAATAAAATAGTTCAATAGAATTTATACAAACCTTTACAATTTTTACCTATGTATGCAGAATATTTTTTAATGCATAATCTCTCTGAAAAACTTATTGCAATAATCAAAATTCTAATTCGAATCCTTAGAAGAAATAGTTTCCTTGTACATTCGATTATCAGACTAGAATTGCATTTAGTTATTTAAATCAAGCATTTGAATATTTAGTTCTTGAAAAAGTAATTAATTTAATAAGCTGAAAATAGTGCGTAAACCTTATGTTTAAATGTTTTTTAATTTATATTATATTGTACGCTTTTAAAATGATACCGCTGGTGTCATCTAACGCTGAAGGGAGTCTCTTGTAATAGAAAATTGCCTTTTTTAATAGAATAAACGCTTTTTATATTTAATTGAGCCAAGTAGAATATTTTGCAATCTCCGTGAAATTCAAAAAATAATCAAAACTTAAAAAATAGGTAATAATAAAAGGTGTGTGGTTTGGTCTTTCTTCTTTATCGATGCTTCATTTCATACGTAGTTGAAGTATCGGCCACGCAGCTGTGGAACGTTTTTGTTGTTGGGTGTCTGCTGTAATTTTAGTGGTAAATAAGATGTGAGGTTTAAAGAGTAATAAATGTTAATTGAAATTGAGTATCATTTATCCATAGCACTTGTATAAACTTATATTTGGTAAGGGTAAGGAGATATGGCAAAGGTCAGGAGGAATACTCATAAAAGTGAGGTAATTAACCTCTGTGCATTATCTTCTTTTAGTTCGTTGTAGTTTAGGAGTTATTTGTTTCCTGCAAATATTTGAAATATTTGTTTAGTGTATCAACATGACAGTCACATTATTTTGTAGGAAATTAGTAGTTCATCAGGTTCATCTTCATCGATATCCTCAGATGAAGAGGTTGATGCAAGGGATTTAAAACCAATTAAAGAGTATTTGTCAGATCGTAGAGAATTAGCTAGACAGCTTTTTAAATCTGTCAGAGCTGAAAAAATACAAATGATGTTACCTCAAACATTGAGGGTGAGCTTGTTGATATCTTTAGGATATTGATCATTTTCATAGCATTCATTACCAAATTTACTTATATTTATTGTAGAAAATGGATTTAGGGCAGTTAGAAAAGTGGTGTGCTAATGAATTAAGTGGTATGTCAAAGAGCCGTATATTGTCTATCTTAAATGGGAAACCTATGTTAGATTCATCAAACACAAGTGAATCAGATGATTCAGGTATGGGAAAGCTTAGCGTTTACTAACAGTTTTGCAGTTCACATGGGTGTTTTATATTTATTTTCATAACAATAGGACCTTCTTTGGAAATAATCTCAGATACAGAGGAGTGGTTTACTGATGAGGATATATGTGTAAAGGAGGAGGGATCTGTTAAAGGGAAGGTAAAGAAAGATAGGACTAAACAGAAAGTAAAATCTCAGCTGCATAGAAAGAATGATAGTAAACCTAATCCTAAGAAAGCTTCTAATAATGTTTCTAAAAATGTACCAGTACCAAAAGAGGAACCAGTAACAGCTAATAAAGAAAAAGAAGGTGATAGTTTGTTAGATTTGCTAGAATTAGAAATGCGTGCAAGGGCGATAAGAGCTTTAATTAGGAAAGAAGAAGATATAATACCAAATACATCTAAATCTAATGAAGGGAATAATGCCTTGAATAAAGATGCCGCAGCTAAAGCAAAACAAGATGAGATGAAAGAAAAGGAAAATTGCAGAAGGCAATTAGAAAAGATTATTAGCGCTCAACAGAATAGCGCTGGCGAGGATGAAGATGTAGTGATAGTCGTTCAGCCAACTCCAACTATCGAGTTGTTATCTAGCGATAGTGAAGACGAACCTCACGGTGGGGTACGGGTGAACAAAAAATTGGAGAATGAACGTGTTTTAGAAAACAAGAATAATATGAAAAATGTCGAAGAAAAGAAAGCAGCAAATACATCAGAAGTACATAAAGAATCAGATGCGCATAAAACTGAAGTTTCTAAACGACCTCATAGTAACAATGTATCTCAAACGGATACTCAATCAAAATCGAGTGGAAAAAGGCGAAAAACGAAGAAAAAGGCGCATACGAAAGAGCAATCGAAAGATCCAAGTTCCGAGGTTGATGTACACAATACGAAATCGTCGAACGATAATCAAATCACCGAGGGTGAAAAGAATGACGAATGTTCGTCAGCAAATGTTAAATTGAACAGAAAGGAACGTGAAAATAACGGTATATCAAAAGAAGTTTCAGGCACGCCAAGTAATATAAATTTAGACGAAGAGAAATCCATTGATTTAGACGAAATAATTGATCTGGATGATTACTGCGATGATATGGAGGAAATGGAGAATAATGAGAACAAGGAGAGCGAAAATAAAGAAGTTACAGGCAAGGAAGATAAACTTGAAACTGAAGTAGGTTCTGTAAAAAAATCGAATGGAACTGAAACTTGGGCGAGTCGCTATTATCAGACAGATGATGTTCAAAACGTAATAAAAGAATCAAAGATACAATCGGAAATTCGTAAACGGTTAAGAGAACGTCAGAGGCTTTCGAAAGCTAGTACACCTCCAAATAAAAAATTACAAGCATCTTCATCGACGGAAAGTACGAGTAATAAAATTACAGAACAGAATCCATTAGGTTCGGTGGATGAGTACTTGGCTCTAAAAAATACCGATGCTACATGCCTTAATGTTAACGCTAATAACGATGATTCCAATGTATTAAAAGATAGTGAAACGTCTACCGATACTTGTACGGATGCAAATAAAATAATTGAGAGCGATGACGCAAGTATGCATTCTGAAAATCAAAACGATGAGACGAAAATTAATTTAAGTGATAATGCAATTATCGATAAGCCGATAGTTACGAACGATAACGCAACTGATGTTACGAACCCTGCTTGATATAACTTTTTTATATAATAATAATTAGAATATTTGTATACATAATTATATGTACATAATTAAAAATATTACAGTAAATACAGTGTTCCCTTTTTTATATTTCAAAAAATTTATGCCAAAATTTATTTACTGGGGTACTTTTATATTCGACATTTATAATCAAACAGTGTCCGCTGTTTATCCGTAAGAAGGTATTTCAAAGACAGTGTATGTATAATTCACATACTCGAGGATTCTACATACTCTCTGACCATTCCCTTCTCTACTTTCGTTTCTCGATTTTTATCGTTCATACCTAGGGGGAAAGTTTCCGTTGCTCTACAATCTCATTTATTTTTAAACTTAAGTAGAGACGCTTCCTAAAACCACGTTTCAACTCCGCCAATACTGAAAGTCATCCAATAATACAGATTTATTCCTTCCTATATCTCGATCCAGTTTTATAATTAGTAAGAAGGTGCGTGTTTCGTTTCCGAGTCGCATGCCCGAGCAGCGTTTATTACAATTCAAACGAAATGTTTTCCACGAAGCGGAAGTGACGATTGAACGTTCAGTCAACGCGCGTGCACTTGAACGCATAAATGATCTCGCACGACCTAGGAAGTGCAGAAATTGTTGGTCGCGTAATCTTATCGACTTTGTGAATTACGACACTGTCTCGCACACACATATACAGGTGGACAGATTTTTCAGAACCTCCACGGTCTTGGCACAGGGAACTTTCGATCCCAATGGGTGGTTCCGGTGGCGTGGAACTTGGAAAGTTTCTCTGCAACGATGCAAATAAGAGATACAAAAGGGAAGGGTGACCGGTAACTTTTTCAGGGGAACAGAAACGGTCGATGGTGTTCTGCACCATGCGAGACAGATTGTTGACAGGGTTCGAGTGGAATTTAAATGAGTATAATCCTGTGTAGGGTTGCGTAACACCAGGAATTTCTTAGGTGGTCCACTTCCGATGAAAGTTACATTTGCAATTCTCAGCGACACGGTACACTGGTTAATACGACAATAAATCTAGAAGCTACTCATGTGCGTTTCTTTACGAGATTTCGCGTAATAGGGAAGTAACGAGGTCGTATAATTAGACGCGTTTGTCTTTCTCGCTGTACCTTGTTTACATGTTTCTACTTAAACTCTGGAGATTAAATGCAGTAGAATAACATTATGCTTGTGGTTACTGATACACTGTTCGTGGATATAATTTCAGCAAAATAGAGTTGCTATTATGCAATGTAAGCAAGTAAAGCTAACGAATGAAAACGATTTTTCGCTTGTTCTTATTTAAACGAACAAAACATAATTCCTTGTACATGTAATAACTTTGTTGATAATAATCATAGTGACAGATTATTTTCTACCCAAAGAGAAAGGTACCTACGTTAGTAAATCATTTTCTCTTCAAATTTGTTATCAAGTTTGTTCGAAACGTATGTATTATTTTTTGCCGAGATTTTTCTAACTGCGTCTGGTAAAACGAGCATTTAAAAGTTTTCGTAACAAAAACTGTTCGTACGTTTTTACTAATCTAACATCAGATAACGAGGCAAAAGGTTGCTGCAAAACAAGTAACAAAACGAAAGAACGTTCTCACGGTAGTTGGATGTTCAGAGCAAAAAGGACCATTGAAAAAAGGTATTGCGCTACTGCACGATCGACAAACACGCAAGTGTTCTCTTTTTTTGGTACGTGGTAAAAAGTACCATTTTCCACGCGTTATTGAAATTTCGTACAGTGTAAATTAAACGTCTAATTGGTCGTGAAGCCGAATAAACGGTAGAGGTAATAAAGCAACAAGATCGTGTGATAACATTGTGTCGCAATCGGTGCGTACAGTGGGAAGCTCTTGATGTAACACGATTTTCCACGTAACGTGTATCGGAATAAAAAGTGGCGCGAACGTGAAAGGACCTCTTTATTCATCCCTTCCGAGGTGTTCGACGGAAGGCACAATAGAGATTGATGCAAGTGCCAAGTCACGATCCTTTAAATTGTAAAACGAAAGCAAGGGAAAAATAAGAAAAAACACTCCGGAGACCGTGTGTTGCGTAACGCCGCGATAGACGCGTCTACTCCTAGCTGGGGCACGTTCTGATTTCTCGGAAACGCCTTCTGTTCAACGATTTCGCGCCAATTTCTGGGGAACGAGGAAGCGTAGAAGTTGCTGTCCGTGCTGTGCCGTGCCAATGAATAATTGCGAATTTTCTTACGTGCTCGTTAGAGAGTCAGGAAAGGGAATCGCAAAGAAAGAATCACTGCTTTGGGAATGGACGAACAATTATAGACGTTCGTTAAAATAAAGACTAAAAAAGGCTTATGATAATCCGAATTTTTTAGCTATATACTTTCAATTATCCGCAATCTTATGCGACGTAAGAAGTGTAAGAGATACGATGGGTTGTATAAGATGGTTAGGGATATCGGAAACATTAGTCACAGTCAATGATAGCTTTCTAAAAGCTATTTACAGGCAACCTTCTGCAGTAATATCGGGATCTTTATAAATATTTCGAGTTGCGTATGTGGCAGACGCAAATTTCCCTAACATATGTACCGAGCAAAATAACGTATCCGGAGGAATAAACAATGTTTACATCACAATTGACGGAAACGTAGTCGGCGGTATGCAATCGACACAACCAGAACTGAGGAACGTCGTATCTGCATCGTTCTACTTTATAAGTGAACGTTATCCATACGGGGACCGCGATTGATCGAAGAAATCTTTCTCGTTCTTATACGAACTTCCTAGGCCATTAAATATGATTACCAGGCTTGCAGCACGTTAAATAACGGGATTTGCTATCCAACTACGTCTGTGTGTCTTGGTACATACGAAAGCATCGGTTAGCCCCCTTTTAAAACTCGCCTGGTCGCTAGCAGATAAACCTGGCTAGTGGTTATTATATCTTAACGACCCGCCGATTATCAAACAGCTACAAACTCCAGTTTCATCGCGGATTATAAATTACCTGTTTAAAAAGGAACGTGCAATAGCCTTTCCCTTTTCACGTTCCATTTCATCGGGAATTCAGTGTTATTCGTGAACTACTTTGTACCCAGGTTAACCAATTATGGTTCGACTTTTTGTTCGCAGTGTATGTAGTAAGTCGTACCGTGTATAATCAGCTGCTATTGGTTTTACCAATCAGACACGATCAACCGATTCACGGTACGATGATTTTGTCAAAATGTAACCGTGCCGCATCAATGCAATTTACCTTGATCGTTGGACAAGGTCGACACACCAGATATTCGTACAGGATATTTTCGTGAATGGTTCGAAATTGTCGCAAGCACGACTCCTCGTATCTGACGAATTGGCGACACCTGAATCGTGGTCGCGTACACGTACAGACACGCTTCTCTGATTCCGTGCACACGTAACATACTCAAGTTGCACTTTCGACGTAACCCACTTTCCTAGATTTTAAAATCGGTTCATACGTCCGGAGTCACTTTCGGTTTCTACATAGCTGCTATCAGATTAGCGTGCGCGCGGAGGAGAAACGAACATTTCATGCGGAAATGAAACCTCGCCTCGCGATCGCGCAAAATTATGATTTTAATTTGTTCATCGAAGTTCGCCGTTAGAAAGGAAATTTTTTACTTCGTCATTTTCTACTTTGAATGGAATAGCGCGGATGATCGAAGAGGAAGGTATGACGAAAACGTCGAGATTGCACAAAGAGAACGGCATCGCGAAACTTGGCAGCATAGATTTTCACGCAACCAAATGTCAATTTTCCTCTCGGCTATTAATTTTCACGTTTTACCATTTACCTTAACGAGCGTACAAATCGTCCGCATCCTTCTCCCTCTAACACTTTGCTTGCGGTAGAACAGGTGTATCTCGTAACTTTAACCGGTGAAAGTCTCGATGCGATTCCTCGCGTTCGCGTAATCGCGTCAGCACACGATTCTCTTCCTCTCAGCGCAATCTCGTGTCTCCCAAGGTTACGTAATCGTTTTGTTATGTATAAAAAAATATCGCTTTATTCGTTCATAAAAAACATATAATACAATACAATTCAGGATCACGGAGTGAATACAATAATTGGTACATTCGACTGACGTCTACTACGAGCAGCGCGCTTGTTCTTCGATCGCGGTGTTCGCGTACGAACGTGAAACGATCTGACGATCGTGATGAATACCGATTTCATGAAATCGGTTGTCGTGTCTGGTAGCGATCATTGAACAAGACGCGCAAGGTCAAAGACTTCGATTCTCTTTCGAGACGAAGTCTTTCCTTCAGTGATGTCCGTAACCACCGAACTCGTGTCCACCTAACTCGATTCCACCCTCCAATCCACCGTATCCACCACCGTATCCACCGCCGATTCCACCGCCGAATCCGTGCTCTTTCACGTAAACTGGTACAGCTTCCTTCACGTACAAGGGCACCTTAACGGGGTAGGGCACTGGTTTTGAAATCGTAACTGGCACCTTGACTGGTACCTTGACCGGGTAAGGCACCTTGATTGGTACCTTGACGGGTACCTTGACAGGGTAAGGTACTGGCTTCTCGACTGGATAAGGTACGTGTTTTTCGACGGTCACTGGGTAAGGTTGGGGTACATGGACGGGATAGGGCTTATCAATAGGTACTTTAATCGGTACTTTGACAGGATAGGGGACGTGTTTTGGGACCTCGACTGGATACGGTTCAGGAACGTGAACGGTCTTTGTGACCGTGACTGCCTGGATGTGTTCCGCGGATATCTGCTCGCCGCCGCCCAGGCCGCCACCCAAACCGCCACCCAAACCTCCTCCGTAGCCACCTCCGTAGCCACCTCCGTAACCTCCTCCGTAGCCTCCTCCGAAACCACCGTGGTCTCCCAGGCTCAGCTCCAAGCCACGTTTCGTCTTCTCTTCCTTTGGCTGAACTTTTTCAGATTCAGCTGGTTTTTTCGTCTCCTCTGCGAGGGCCGATAGTACCAGGCCGCAGAAAAGTAAGATCTAAACAGAGTAAATTATGGATCGTTAGTCTCGAATTAATAGGCTCGTTTTGTGTGCGTTCGAAAATGGGTTTGAAGTTTCGAAGGAAGAAGTTTGAATAGCTTTTGTTACGAGCTAC